TTTCCCCCACAGATCTCCACCCCACTTCCGTGCATCCCATGGGCTCAGCAGGCACGGGGCTTCCTCCCACCTCCTGCTTAGCCCCCCCAACATTGTACTGAGCTCCTGTGGACCCTAACAGGGATAGCACCGTGTCCAAGAGGCCCAGAGGAGACCTGGGGCCAGCATGGGAGACACATGCAGAGGCGGCCGCTGGACCCACTACTGTTTGTAAAGAGATGCTGTTTACACAGCATTTTCCCTTCGCACCCTCCAGCTAGCAGCCTCCACCTAACCCAAAACAAAGGGCTTGGATCCCCTATACAGCCTGCGCTCCAAGGGCTGGGCCAGGGGTTCAGATTCTTTCATGGATGAAGAATGGATCTCCAGGTTGGCCACTCCTGGATTCCTTAGCTGGGGACTCTGAACACACACTCTTTTTAGACCACAGGGCAGGTCTCAGGGCACACTTTCATTACAGCTGTCAGGTGCATCTGCCACACGCAAGGATGCCCAGTGCGTCTGCCAAGACTCCACAGAGCCAAATACTGAGAAAGCCACGTCACCTTCAGTGAAAGGGTCTGCACAGAAGATGGCAAGGGGGATGGGTGCAGGGAAGGGGAAAGAACTTTGGCCAAAATGCAATCTGGGCCAGGCACGGTGGCTCTCGCCTGTAATCGCAGCACTTTGGGAGGCCGAGGTGGACGGACCACCTCAGGTCAGGAGTTCAAGACCAGCCTGGCCAACATGGTGAAAATCCTGTCTCTACTAAAAATACAAAAAATATAGCCAGGTGTGGTGGCGGGCACCTGTAATCCCAGCTACTTGGGAGGCTGAGGCAAGAGAATCGCGTGGACCTGGGAGGCAGAGGTTACAGTGAACTGAGATCGCGCCATTGCACTCCAACCTGGGGGACAGAGCAAGACTCCATTTCAAAAAAAAAAAAACAAAAGAAAACAACAACAACAACAAAAACTCAATCTGCTGTAGGGTTCTTGTTCCTTTTAGTGAGAATAACATTAGTGATCAAATCTGAGTGTGAGAATGGGTGCTCAGTGCTACTGGATGTCAGAGCTTCTAGGCTCTTTCAGTGGATGTATTTCAAGTTAGAAAACATATCTTACAAATAAAGCATGAGTTCATATTAATATTTTCAGTGCAAAACTAACATTGTAAAATTTTGCATGGACTTTTATTTTGTACTTCTTTTTCTCACACTAAAAACCTTGGTTTATAAGAGCATTCAAAATTACTTATTTTATCTTATACATAAAATAATTTCAAAATAATAATTCTAATATTATTACTGACAACAAATTGCTAAATTCAGTTTTAATATTTTTAAATTTCTTTTATACTTACACTATATTTCACTAAGCATGTAAATAAAGTAAATAAAAATACTGTATTTTAAAGACCAAGAAACAGTTGTTTTCTGTATGTGGTTATGTTACCAATTGGATATACAATTAGGTTCACGCATTACAGTTTTCAATTGTTTAAACTGCTTTTTTTTCTGTATGATTTAATTGAATGGCACAAAAATCAAAGAGGATTAGAAGGTTAATTATTGAACTGTCACTTTCATGCCATCCTTTCCCCCCCTAGGGTTCCCTGTATGTAACCATCTTTGTTAGTTTCTGGTTTATCTTTAAAAAATAAAAATAAAAATTATATATATATGTGTGTGTGTGTGTGTATATATATATATATATATATATAGAGAGAGAGAGAGAGAGAGAGAGAGAGAGAGACAGAGAGAGGCAGGGTCTTGCTTTGTGGCCCAGGCTGGAGTGCAGTGGTACAATTATGGCTCACTGCAGCCTCAACTTCCCAGACACAAGGGATCCTCCCATTTTGGCCTTCCAAAGTGCTGAGAATACAGGTGTGAGCCCCTGCGCCTGGCCTCGGGTTTATCCTTCTTTTTGCTAATATATACACACATATTCTTATTTCCCCACATATATGACGCAAGATGCAGCAATCTATTTCTTCCGTTCTGCCCCTTGATTTTTCCCTCCCAGATATGATATCCTGCAGATCTTGACGCATCAGTCCACAGAGATCTTCCTCTTCTTGTGACTTCATAGTCCTGCCCACTACTAGTGGACATTTAGGTGGTTTCGATCTTGTGTTATCAGAAATAATGCTGTAATTAACAATACTGTGCCCAGGTCACTCTGTGCTTAAGCCGGTATGCATTGTAGATAGATTTCTAGCAGATACGGTTGCTAGACTGAAGGGTAAATGTAGCTGTCATTTTATTTCTATTGCTTTTAAAAATGAAATCACATTTTTAATCCAAAGTCAATCTTCACCCATGTCAGCATGCTCTCCTGTGTTAGATGAAGTAATCTCTCACACCTGTTTGAGACTGTGGATTAGGTCTTCTTTTTTCTGCTGTCCTAAAAAGTAAATTTGTTGTATATGGTATATTCATTCTGAAATTTCAGATGGATTCCCCTATTCTATACTACTGAATCTTTTCTCATGTCTGGTCATGTTTTTGCTGTCTTCTTATTCACGTGTGTGTGTCTGTATGTGCACTCATGTGCTTGTGTCTTTGCGCATGCTCCTGTGTGTCTGTGTGTGCACATGTGTGTAATGTGTGTCTGTGTGTGCTCATGTGTGCGTGTGATTTTGTATATGCTCATGTGTGTCTGTGTACATGTGTGTATCTGTGTGTCTTTGTGCATGCTCCCAAATGTCTGTGTGTACTTATGTGTCCGCTTGTGTGTGTGTACCTGTTTGTATGTTTGGGGGGGGGCAGAGGAACAAGTGTGTGGTGTTGAGCTGTGTCAGGGGCCAACATGGTTTACAATATTGACATATTGGTTTTTTATCTTTCTTAGAGATTTGTGGGTCTCCCATTAGCCTCTTTTAATCTGTGAACACAATTAAGGGGAAATGGTTTACCTGCGTTGTATATTTGGGGCTTCAGGTGGCAGTGAGGCATGGAAAATAAGGGAAGCGTGAACAGCACTGCCTAGGGTCTCAGAGGTTCAGCTGCTTCAGGTGAGGACCAGGCCATGTCATCACCAGCTCCCCCTGGGTGTGCCATGTGCTCACCTGCAAGGGCGGCTGACGGGTCCAACATCACGGTCATGGTCTCTGTCACCTGTTGAGTGTGCTGAGGGCATGCCCAGCCCTGAGTGTTTCACACAAACAGACCCCCTTAACCTCAAGGCCACCCCAAGGCATGGGTACCGAAGCCTGACTCACAGAGGAGCAAACCTCAGCCCCAAGAAGGGAAGCCCCTGACCCAGGCCCCGCACCCAGGCCCTGTCCCTCCACGTGCGGTCACAGCCCTTGGCCCCACCAGGCCCTTCACTGGTGATGCCCACGCTTCCCTGGCCAGGCTGCTGCCACTTGCTCAGCAGGGGCTGCTCATGTCTTCAGTGTTCTCACAGAACTGGCTGGTTCTGACCCCACAAACAGAAAAAGCTTTGGGGTGACCCCAAACTCCCTCCACCGAACCCGTGAGCCTGCCTGCACCTCGTCTGCCCTGCTGGCTGGGGCTGGGGAGTGGGGGGCGCTCGTGAGGGGGTGGGGGAAGAGGGTCTTCCTTCCCCAGAGGGGTTGGGGGGTCTGGGGGGAGGTATGAGGTGTGGGAGAGAGGGTTTTCCCCCCCAAGGGTCCTGCTGGCTGGGGAGGGTGGGTATTAAGGGTTTGGGGAGAGGGTCTTCTTCCCATGGAATCCTTGCCTCAAAAGGGTCTTTCTTCTCTGGATATCAAGTTTCTCGGTTTTAAAACTCAAGGGATGAATCTAGGGGATCCCCAAGGATTCACACAGCCTGGGGTGTCTCTGTTCATTCGTGCTGGTTACCCAGGACAGGCATCTGGGGACCAGCATATGTTTTGGGGGTAAGCGTTTTTTGGGTGCAGAGGCCCCGCCCGCCGCCTGCGCCGCTTCCTCTCTCCGGCTCTAGAGGGCGCCCTGGCACAAGGAGCCGCCTCGCCTGGGCTGCCGGTGCAGGTTTCAAGGCTCATGCTCTATCCCTGGCACCTTGGACGACCAAAAGCTGAGTGAATTTTTCACATGCATTCATGTGAAAGAAAACTAACTTCTAAAAAGCATTATTAGAATTTGCAACTTTATGTTCACAAAGTTGCCAGTTCTCAAAATTTTGCCAGAACTACAGACTTTCGGTATAAATGTATAGTGATATTTCCTGCCACTAATAATGGCTCTGTTGTCAGACGAACCGAGGACATCAAATACAGAAACACTAAAGACTCCACAAATTCAACTTGTTAGCAGTAACACGAATAGTTGCCACCTGTTCCAGCAGGATCTGCTGCAGTGCCTTTCCTGTGTTCATCAGCAGGAAAACTCTTCTCGCTGGGCTTCTTTCCATATGCCTTTTTGTATGACCTTTCAAGATTTGTGACAGGCTAAGACACACACACACACGTGTATCATATTTTCAATCAGGGTATTTTTACAGAGAAATATTTTTCCACCCCGAGACAGTCTCTCTCTGTTGCCCAGGCTGGAGTGCAGTAGTGTGATCTCGGCTCACTGCAGCCTCCACCTTCCAGGTTCAAGCGATTCTCCTGCCTCAGCCTCCCAAGTAGCTGGACTACAGGTGTGCACCACTGCGCCCTAATTTTTGTATTTTTAGTAGACACGGGGTTTCACCATGTTGGCCAGGCTGGTCTCAAACTCCTGACCTCAGGTGATCCACCCTCCTCAGCCTCCCAAAGTGCTGGGATTACAGGCGTGAGCCACCGTGCCCAGCTGGAAAGATTTTTTAAATACTGTGTTTTCCCATGCATTTAATAAATTGTGGTTCCCTATGACAATGGCTAGGGGTGAGGTCATGGCACTCCGTGTGTCTGTGTGCCCATACCCACTCCTAGACAAGAGCACGGACGAGCCGATTATAAGAACACACCTTTCCCAAAGCACAGTGCTATAGACATCAAGGCCTCTGGGCTGCATCACAGAAAAAACGTGCCACAAACTGGCCACTCTTTCCCATGCTCACTAAGGACACAGAATAGGAACAATTACTTACCGAGAAGAGAAGGGCTTTCATGAGAAAGAGAGAAATGAAGAACCAGGAGAGATCATCCAAAGCCCACACCAATGCTGCTGCAAAGGAAATTGTCTTTCCAAGTACAGCGACACCGCGAAACTCAACCAAGTGATGGGCTCAACACAGCGGCAGCCTCTGCCAGGGCTCTGGGTGACAGAAATTCCCTGCCTCCTTCAGCTTGGCCACCATGAGCTCCTCCCCAGGGCTCTGTTCTGTCCTTGGCTTTCCCTTCTCAAGCAGTGCTCTGGATTTCCGTAGCCTGGCAACGAGGTTAGGGGGTGGTGGTTGGGGAAAAGAACTCTGAGCTGGTGGCTTGTCAAAGGCACTTGGAAACCCAGCCAAAGGAGTCCTGGCTGGGAGTTATGGGAAGTACAGAGACATCACAGGAAACACATTTTCTGCATGATTTTGTCTTTATTTTGCCTTGTCTTTCTCCCACTGGCACCTATATTAATCTCTTCTTGAGGTTAGCAAATACTCTTATTTTTAAATTGAGATACATAATTCGTATACCATAAAAATCTCTCTTTATACAATTCAGTGGTTTTTAGTATTTTTCCAAGGTTATGCAGCTGTCTTCGCAATCAATTTTAGAACATTTTCACTGCCCCTGTACACAACCCAGTACCCATTAGCAGTCACTCTCCATTTCCCTGTTCTTGGCCTGTGACAACCACTAATCTCCTTTCTGGCTCCATAGATGTTATGGGCTGAAACTGTGTCCCCCAAAATTCATATGTTGAAGCCCCAGCTCCCCATACCTCAGAATGTGACTGTAGTTGGAGACGGGGACTTCAAAGAAGTGATTAAGTTAAAATAAGGTTGTATGGGTGGGCCCTGATCCAAACTAACTGGTGTCTTTATAAGAAGAGGGCACTAGAACACCGAGAGACCCGGGCACAGAGGGTCGACTATGTGAGGACACAGTGAGAAGGCGGCCATGTGCAAGCCAAAGAGGGAGGCCTCACCAGGTGTCAACTCTGCCAACACCTTGATCTCAGACTTCCAACCTTCAGAACTGGGAGATGATAAATTTGTTACTTAACCTACTGTCTGTGGCACTTGGTTATGGCAGCTCTGGTAGATGAACGCGATAGATTTTCCGCTTCCAGATGCTTCACATAAATAGTCATACAATGTGTAGTCTTCTGCATCCGGCGTCTTTCACTCAGAATAACATTTTCAAATTTCATCATGTTGTGCACATATGTATGTATTTCATTCCTTTTTATGGCTGAATAATGTTCCATTGTGTGGACAGACCACATTTTGATTATCCACTCATCAATTGGCAGACATTTGGACTGTTTTCACTCTTTGACTATTATGAATAATGCTGCTATGAAAATCATATATAAAGTTTTTTGTGAACATATATTTTCAGTTATCTTGGGTAACTGATTCCACATAGAAGGGGAATTTCTGGGTCATGTGATAACTCTATGTTTAACTTCTTAGGGAACTACCAAATTGTTTCCCAAAGCACCTGCAGTACTTCACGTTCCCACCAGCAACATATAAGGGCTCCAATTTATCCACATCGTAGCCAACACTTGTAATTGACCATCTTTTTTATTATAGGCTTTCTCGTGAGTGTGAAGTGGTATCTTGTTGTGGTCAAGGTATTCTTTGATATCAACAATGGTTAATATAACAGCTTCTTTTTCTGCCTCATCTTCCAATACTTGTGTTTTCCACAAACATCAGGAACATAATCACTAGTCATGTGGCCCATTACTGAATATGACATAATGATTTTATACTTCAGCCATATTTGCATCATTGAACCTGTGTAACTGTGCATGTGTGTTTTTGTGTATGTTTGGTGTACATGCAGATGCACATGGTCAGGCATCCGCATGTATGTTTGTGCATGTCTGTGCATGCATGCACTCGTGTATGTGAGCACGCTTGTGTGTATGTGTGCTTTGTGCATTTGTGCATGTGCACATTTGTGCATGTATGTGCATTTTATGTGTGCGTGTGTGTTTGTACATGTTTTTGTGTGTGTGCGCATTTGTGCATGTGAGTGTGTATACATTTTGTGTGTGCAGATGTGTTTGTACTTTTGTGTGTGTGCACATTTGTGCATGTGTGAATGTGTGTGGGTTTTGTGTGTACATGTGTGTTTGTACTTTTTTGTGTTCACATTTGTGCATGTGTGAGCGTGTGTGCATTTTGTGTGTACATGTGTGTTTGTACTTTTTGTGTGTGCACATTTGTGCATGTGTGAGTGTGTGTGCATATGTGCATGTGTGTTTGTGCATTTTTTGCGTGTTCACATTTGTACATGTGTGAATCTGCATTTTGTGTGTACAGGTGTGTACATTTTTGTGTGTGCACATTTGTGTATGTGTGTATATGTTTGTATGTGCATGCATGTGTGCACAGGCTTACGTGTGTTTGTGCAGGCATGTGTTTGTGCATGTGCGTGTGTGCACCTGTGCCTGTGTACTCTCCTCCCATATAACTAGATCTCCTGGTCACGAGTAATTGTTCCTTTGACCATCCTCTTCCATTACCAAGCTGCCAAATCACGGGTGCCTAACTGGCGTCAGGTGCTTCTGAGACAGTGCTCTTCCAGAAGAGCCTAGAAAGCTCACTCTGACCACGGCCCCCAAGCTGCTCCCCGTAACGACTTCCAGAACTCTGGGGTGAAGATAAAATGAATTCATATTCTGTCTGAACCCCCAGTCCTCAACACAGCTCTCGTACTCCCTTTCTTTCTGAGTTGGAATCTCACTCTGTCATCCTGGAGTGCAATGACTCCATTTTTTTTTTTTTTTTTTTTTGAGATGGAATCTCGTTCTGTCACCCAGGCTGGAGTGCAGTGGTGCGATCTCAGCTCACAGCAACCTCTGCCTCCCAGGTTCAAGCAATTCTCCTGCCTCAGACTCCGGAGTAGCTGGGGTTACAGGTGCGTGCTGTCATGCTCAGATAATTTTTCTTTTTGTATTTTTAGTAGAGATGAGGGTTCACCCATTGGCCAGGCTGGTCTCAAACTTCTGACCTCAAGTGATATGCCCACCTGGGCCTCCCAAAGTACTGGGATTACAGGTGTGACCCACTGCACCCGGCCAGCTCTTGTACTTCCTATTCAGCCTCCTGAGACATAGTTCCATTAGAAATTCCCTCACATCTTCCCAAGGCCACCAGCCCTCTATGATCTGCTGCCACAAAACTCCACTCTCTCTAGCCTTGTCTCCCATTCCCTGAAGCTCAATTTCATGCCCAGAAGGCCCGGCTCATGGTCTGTAAAGTTCTTTCACAGCTCCCTTCAGGGTCAGCACCTTCATACCTTCTGGCTGTGCTCAGACAGCCCCTCTCGGTGAGAGCTTTGCTGTGCACCTTATTAAAATTGCAGCCTTCACCCCACCCCTGTCCTCCTCTCCCTTCACTGCTTTATTCTTCTCCATACTACTGATTACATTCTAACAAACTGTTTATATACATGATTTACTTCTATACAATTCCAAATATAGCTTTAGAAATAACTAACTTATCCAGCTGGCTTCCTGGCTGTCTCCCTCCACCGGACCCAAGTTCCGCTGGCCAGGGCTGCTTCACCTTCATGTTCTCTGCTTGCATCCCTGCTGCCCGGACCACTGCCTGGCACACCGGAGGCACTCAATCGATGTTTGTTGAATTGAACGTGTGTAACACTGGTCAGAGGAGGAAGGAGTAACAGATAAGCTGATAAAAACCATGGTCACTCTAATGATCATTTTAACCCCAATAAGGGTGAAAAATGAGAGGCAATAGCTTCAAGTTCAAGGCATCTTCAAGAAATGCACTTTGAACATCTTAAATAAAATCGTGTTAAACGGATAAAACAATATATAGTTGAAATATTTTTATGTCAACTTGTCTCTATGCTCTTGAAGCAATTATTCCGAGTATCTGAGTTCTCAATGAACATCTTTCTAACCAGCCTTGGACTTTTCCACAGTAACCAAAATGGAAGAGCTTCAGAGCACCAGGGCAGGGGCAGGGGAGCACTACCTGTCTGAGCTTCCGTGTCTTTGCGGGAACGTGGGGAAAACCATGTCTCACAAGGCTGTGCTGAGGATCAAATGTAATCATGTAAAAAGGAGCTGTGAAATGTACAATGCTAAGCAAACCTTGTAATTCTCACTACGACTACTTCCAGCCTCATCTCCACACTACTAGGGGTGAGAAGGGATTTTGTGTAAGGACCGGGCACCTAGCCAGCAGAGAAGTTATTTCCAGAGATGGTGTCCTCTGAGACTGCAGGTCTTTGCAGGATAACAACGGCTGTCTTCCTGAGCTGTACTGCAAAGGTGATGTCCATGGGGCCCAAGAGCTCAAAGTCCCACCAACCCCCTGAGGCCCCAGCCTTTCTGGAGAGCTCTGCTATTTGCTGCTCCAATCCAGAATTCCTAGCTCCTGAATTATTTTGTTTGGACCATCTCCTTGGGCGCATTTGCCCAGCTGTGTTGAATGGTATTGGGGGGTCTACAGGAGAGCAAGCGTGAAGACCAGCTGCAGCGGCAGCCCGAGGTTGGGGCTGGGGTGGATGGTGAAGGGTGAGGATGGAGCTGACAACCCCAAGGAACATGGAGCTGAAGGGCCTCTGCACACTGGAACACCTGTTCTCAGTCTTTGTCCACTCAGCCAGGTGGTGCTAGGTCCCTCCTGCCTCTGCACCTGGGGGATCAGAGAGAAACGGCATTGAGCCTGGGAGCCCAACTGGGAGGCCAATGGGGGAATGCAGACCATGGAAACACCGCAGCACCCTGGAGGAAGCTACACCCTAGAATGGGGCTGACGAAGAGGGAACTGAGGAGTCCACCAGAACCATGAGCTGTCAGCCCACAGCTGACAAAAAGACAGCACTGTCTACCGGCAACCTTCAGCATGCTAAGGCAAGGAAGAGACGCTTGAAAAGTCACATCTGCCGAAAACCCAAGGATCCATGGAGCTGAAGAAAGAGGAGGGTCCAAGTGGGGCCAGAAATAAAGAGACCTGCGCTCAATCATCCCTCAAAGGGAGTTCACCCATTTCTTAGAAAGAAGGGCCCTTATGTTACGTTCATTCTTTCAAACCTATTTCCTGAGAGCCTCTGTATTTCTTCATGAAACAAGCTTAAAGAGAAGTTCCCCCAATGCACACCAATACATTAGTATATTGTTATATCTTTGAATATTTAGATTCACATTAACTGAGAAGTAAAACTACTCATAGGTCGCAGGCCACAATGTGGGCTTCATCACTTCCAGGCTTTGTAT